CACAGTATGCCCAGTATTTGCGAGGTGTTCCACAATCGCAGTTCAGCTGGTTTTTCTGACCCCAATAGTCAACCACGCTGGTTTGTGTTCCTAGATCCTTTGGGAACACTACCTGATGGTTCCACCTACGTAGCTTGCCGAACATGAACAATCATAGAGGAGGTAGAGATAGGCAATTTATTTTTGAGGTTCAAGGAAACAACCGGCTGATTGGTGAACTGGAGGCGTAAATGTGCGTGTGATAGCTCTTTCCAAGCACCGGGTAATTAGCTCATTCTTGTAATCTCTTTTGAATGAGAGTCGCAGGTATAAGTCTTTCTTATTCACCGTCGTCATTGAAGGTCTCTTGGGTGTTTCGGATAGGTTTTTCTGAATGAACCGTTCCGGGTAACCATTAGATGTGTATGTTCTTTTTATATTCTCCAATGCTTGTACTAAGTTGTCTTCTGTGCACATCTCTCCTGCACTGGCTGCAATGGAACGGATAAGGTTTCGCTTCCGTTTCAGTGGTACGAAGCTTGCAAAGTGAATATATTGCCCAGTCCATGTTGGCTTACGATAAACACTTCTGTTCAGATAACCATCACTACGTCGCGTGAGATTCACCTCGAGAAAATGGAATGTATCTTCTGATTCGGCTTCTGATGTAAAACTAATAGCTTCGTGTGCCTCATTGCAATTGCTCAATAGCATTTCCAACGAGGTTTTCTCACTTGTCAATAAGAAGATATCATCCACATACCGACAATAAACAGACGGACTATTTATGGTTGTTCTGAGCTCATGGTTTTCCAGTTTGACCATAAATATATCAGCCATATTATGCAATTATCATACACCTATTATTATTTTCAGAACTCTATGAATAGATTGCTCACAAAAAAGAATCGGACTATATGTGATTCACTTTCATTTACAGTTTGATGCATTCTCCAAACTTTCATTCCTCACCGAAGTAGTTGGATGAATTCCTTCAGCGATATATGATCAGTAGCACTGTTTAAGCTGGGAAACGCCTAAGTTGTTAGAAGTGCACTTTTTGAGATCAAATGTAGAATTCTTTCAGCGGATTCTAGTGAATCTCTAACGATCCATCGACGCGAAAATTCCTCCGGTGAACTGAGGACGAAATTTTCTTGAAATGCTGTACTATTATGAGTTACGTATAGCTGGGACAAAAGAGGAACAGACCTCGAGTTTTAAGGGTAACTTGGGGAGTGGATGTTCGCACTGTCAAAGCACAATCAACTGATAGCGGGTCTAAACTAACAAAATTGGGGTCCACAATTTCTACAACGTACCACAATGAAGACACCCCCCCTCACTGTGTCAAAAGAGTCTCCAATGTCTCAGTGTTTAGCTCAACGACTGCCGTCGTTTGCAGTTTGATCAGAGCGAACTATATGGGCGATTTAGATGGTGAACACGCATGTCTAATGATACAATGCCTGGCAATCAGCCAAATAAATATGCGAGATAAAAACCTCTTTCAGCATGAGGAACAGAGACAAGGCGTATGTGTCGATCCGTGGACCGACATATGAGTACTGGGTTTCAATTAAAGAAAGCTAGTGATCGACTAAACGGCGGCGATACGGGTTACGGATGAAAGGGTAACAGTCAGCCCGCTCAATAGACTCTGGATCAACTCAGGTGTAACACGCTTAGTCATAAGGAAAGAGAAATGCCACGAGTCAAGGTGTATCGGAAGATTGTTCTAGAGATGCACATATTATATTATTATATTTCACACACATCTGACGACAGGCCGTGTGCCAAACAAGTCATGGTATAATAATTAAAAAAAAGAAAAACGTTCCATACTTTATGTGTGGACTGAATACTACCTGGTTGCCCAGGCCAAGGCAGGTGAATTTTCTTGAGGAATTCAGAACCAGTTCCATCGGCTAGCCAAAGCTTGACCCGCAAGGCCGCCTGGCGGTGTGTGAAAGCCGCAATCCGTTGGGGGCCGGTGTCCAGTTCATCGGATGATACGCCCTTTGGACGGGGTCAAACGTCTAAGATGCTCAATACATCTCGATGCCCATTCGAGCCGGTGACCACTGCCACAACCGAAAAGGTGTGTGTGTGGTCCGTACGCTTTTCTTGGTTTGTTTGGTATCAGGGTTTTTGGCCAACTCCCCTAGGTGAACTATCAGTGGTCCACGAACCCGGTTATAGCTCCGGATGTCGGCTTTTCGTCCTCTCACTTTGGTGGACAAACACCTCCGCCACGAGAAGGCAGTGGGTAGGGCTTCCTCAGCAGAAGCTATTCGAGACGCTTGGTCGTATGAGAGCATTTCGCGAGGTGCAACGGCAGGGTGACCAGCCGCAACCCTAGACACCCACCCCCGACCATACTGAGGCTTTCGGAGGTCGATGCACATGCAGGTCGGGTGGAAACTATATATGAAGAAGACTAGTCTAGTTGGAAGGCGAAATGTATTCATCACGAAGTACCAGCTCCGATGTTTATCAGTTTTGGATCTGAAAAGAGGTTTGTTTGAGCAAGTGTTTTGTCAGTCCATTGGTGGTGAAAGCACACGTCTCGCCTATATTTCGTCAGTTTTACTGGAAGAAAGGAATGCTGCTTGTATACATCGACAGCCATCAGTGAAGTTTACTTCACTCTATTACGCTGTACGTTGCTGTTGATGGTTAATATCCCACCTTTAACCAACACCAAGTTCATTTTATTTGCTTCATCATACACTTAATCGTAAAAAGTCAGCTTAACGCTTGTAATTTATTCCGTTTATGGTGGTGATCTGGTTGGTACAACTTTAAAAAAGGAGTATTTCATAGCTCGTATCTCATCCACACAAGAAGACATATATGGGCACAATTCCTATTGACAATCAATTTCGCAAAGCCTCATCCGGATGTAAACGCACATTTGTTCGATCATGTCAAACAAAGAAACAGGAGTGGAAATAAGTCATATGAACTAGGTGTTAGACCAGTCAGTTGCGTGATTTGCGTCTGGTTGTGGGTTAAGGTCCAGTTAGATGAGGAAATTTGATAAGGAATTGAACTGCTTCAAGCAAGGTGGCAAGTAGATGATCAATTCTGTCCACATATTTCGCCTTGTGTTGATGAAATGGACAAGGGAAAGAGGATGTTTCACGAAACTCGTATATATTTGTAGCTTGTAATATCATCATCATCGTGCAGCGAAATACGGAAAGGTGAACTTCACTGATCGTTGCCTAACTCGCAATACACTGGGGTTTAATGAACGGGTACTGCTAGGGTGTCCAGCCACCAAGCAGGTGAACGATTAAGGTTCTCAACCAAAGCCTTTAGTTCTGACATGAACCTAGCCGCAAGGCAGCAGGTGAAGTGAAGTGGAGGCCAATTTACTTGTATCAATTACTCGTCTACTTTTTTACCGACTGAAACGCAAATTCTAGTCGAACCTGGAGGACCAGGAGACTGGACTTCGTCCGACCTCTACCCTTCGACCTTCCAGGTGTGATTAGATTTTCGGCTTGACGAAAGCCATCCTGTTTAACTCGTTGCGTCAGAGAGGTGCACAAACCACAACACAACGTCAGGGTGCAGTCTCCTCGTGATGGGACTTGTGATAGTAAACTTCACGTTTAATTGTCCTGTCGATTTCACGTCAGATGAATTTTTCGAGAGCGGTAATTACCACGATTTCTTTCTCTCATCAGGTTCCCCAAGGCTGTCAACTAGCCAGTCGGGTCTTGCCCAGGTTGGTGCGCCTCATCGAGTGGCCCAGATGGCTGTACCCCCAAAAGCAGTTGGAATCGGTGGAAACCAGAGTCCTGCACCATTACCTCCATCGGCTACTCCATCATCCAGTCGACGTATCAATTATAACAAATGGGAAGAGGATGAGCGCTTGGGAAGTCAATCCACCATTGCTCCTGTGTTGCATGCTAACGTTTCCCATCCCACCTTACGTCAACATGTACCACAGTTTGCTGCTCGCGCAAAAGAGATGAGCAAATTGTGGCGTCGCTTGTCCAGCGAGGAACGTGGAACTTGGGTGGTATGTGTTCTTTTTCTGTCGCTTGTGTACAATGTGTTGCTCATCCTGTGTTCAAATTTGCAGATCGACTGTCTATTTTTTTTAATCATCAACCGGTGGTAAGCTGATTGTCAGTTAGTCATTCATAGACTTCATCGAACCTCACTTCACACACCCCTTTACGTCTCATATCCAAACAGGCAGTACGTGTTCATTAGAATTTTTATTGTTACTCACCGCAAGCAATCCCATCACAGTTCAGGTGGTGTAAAAATCGGTTTTTACCTCAGAGATTACTAACCTGTTTACTTTTTTCTTTCCTCAGACTAAAGCGCGCAACAACCGAACCAATCTGAAAGGTAGTCAAACACCTCAAGTGACGTCCGGCGTCACGCTACACATGCCTTCCACACCAACCGGCTCTACAACCACCGATCAAATGGCTGTAGATGACCCCGGCTCGATGTCAGTTGTACAGCATCGCGTCTCTTTGGGGTCACACGGTGTTATGACAGGATCCGTACCTGCATTGTCAATGCCGGGGCACAATTACCCGTCGGATCCAACTAGTCAAGCCTCCCTGGAACAAATGGAGACTAACACGGTGCCATTCTCTTCAACTCCACCTTCTACAGTATTTACGCCAATGCAGAGAGCGGCGAGTAGCGAGGTACAATCTTTCAAATTTTCTAGTTTCTGCTAATCGTTGTAGGTTGTGCTGGTTTTATCACAGTTCTCAGTATCCTCAGGATAACACAGATGATGCCATGTTGTGCATGCAGTTGCAGATTCTATTCTTCTTTTACTCTTTGATGGGTTTTGTGTTATTTCTTAACAGTGCATCGTTGATGGACGCATGGATTAGGAACTGTAAATTTTTTATGCGAATAAAATACCTATCGGTTCATTGAGAAGTACATGTAGCCACACGTTCATGTTCATATAGTTCGCCTTGTCAGTTTTAGCTATCACTTGCGGCTTGTAATCATAAAGCGTCCAGGCGAAAGTTGTGCTTTACAATTCGATTGGTTTCCAGTGGGCTATTTGCCATTGAGAACAGTTGATTGATTGACCGAATGAAAAAATAATGATTATGCCCAGTACCTTTGATGGTGATGTTAGCTTTGTAATTGACCATTGAGTATGAAGCCTTATTTTAAATGAAGAAAAATGTATATATATCAGTTTCTGTTTGAACAACCATGAACCATGCACTTTCGTGCGCCGGTTTTGGTTGCTGTCTTTTGGCTGCCCATTGGGATGAA